CGAGCCACATGCGACTCTTTGGCCTCTTGAGTGTGGCTCTTCCTAAGCCTTAGGAGTACCCTAATTAAGTTAATAACAATGTACCTACCTATATAGTTTAAGTTTAAAAAAATTTGGCTCTCAAAAGAAATTTCAATCGTTGTACTGTTGATATTTGGCTCTGTTGACTAATGAGTTTGCTGACCACTGACCTAGAGCATACCTGAATTCCTGGACCAATAAATAGTGGCACATATCATTATTATTACTGTTATTATTATTATTATTATTAACATCAATGACAATACATCCTTTGGAATTATAGGAATGGTCAAATTAATATAAAAATGCTTCACTCTCTAAAATACCTGGGTTAGCTCTTTGATAGTAGCATCAATACTAGGAAGTTTTCTGCATCTTTTTTTCCCTCCACATCTTAAAACTTGATTTGTACATTTGTTTTGTTTTGGTTTTATTGGTGGTAGTAGACTCTTTAGGAGCAGTTTTAGGTTCACAGCAAAACTGAGCAGAAAATATAGCGTTTGCTTATTTCCACTGTTCCCCTTCCACATGCACAGTCCCCACCCCCACCAACATCTTGTTCAGTTTTGTTTGTTTTCCAGTGGGAACCTGATTTCCAGTGGGTAGCATGGAGGAGTTAGAGCTGAGTTTCTTGAAGTAAAGTGGCAGACCTGCCCTTAGATGCTAGGAGGTGGGTAGGAACCCCATCACCTGGCGGGCCCCTCCAGATGTCCAGAGGAAGTTGCCACAAGGTGTCTGACTGAGCGTGGGAATCCCCACCTCACATTGCCTTGTGCATAAGAAGTCATGTGGCCTTCTTTCTTTTTAATTTTATTTTTCAATTACAATTGACATTCAATATTATTGTATATTAGTTTCAGGTGTACAGCACAGTGGTTAGACAGATACTTGACAAAATGTTCCCCCTGATATTTAAGGTACCCACCTGGCACCATACGTAGTTATTCTGAGTGGATAAAAAAGCAGGGGTACAGATACATAAGGAAATACTGCTCAGCCATACAAAAGAATAGAATCTTACCATTTACAGCAGCACGGATGGACCTACAGGGTATTATACTATATGAAGTAAGTCAGACAGATGAAGGCAAATATCAAATGATTTCACTTATATGCAGTATCTAAAGAACAAAATAAATGAATAAACAAAACAGAAAGAGACTCATAGATATAGAGAACAAATTGATGGTTGCCAGAGGGGAGGGGAGTTGGGGGGCCAAAAGGAAAAGGTGAAGGGATTAAGAAGTGCAAATTGGTAGTTACAAAATAGTCACGGGATGTAAAGACCAGCATAGGGAATATAGTCAACTGATACAACTCAGCACCAAAAAACAAACAATTCAATTATTTAAAAATGGGCAGAGGCCCTGGCCAGTGTGGCTCAGTTGGTTGGAGTGTCATCCTGTACAGCGAGGGTCACAAGTTCAATTCCCAGTCAGGGCACATACCTAGGTTGTGGATTCAGGCCCTGGTTGAGGCACATCTGAGCAGTAACCAACCAATGTTTCTCTCCCGATCGAAGTTTCTCTCTCTCTCTTGCCCTTCCTCTCTCTAAAAGTCAATGAACATATCCTCCAGAGAGGGTTAAAAAAAATAGGCAGAAGACCTGAATAGACACTTCTCCAAAAAAAACATACAGATGGCCAATAGACATGTGAAAAGATGCCCAACATCACTAATCATCTGAGAAATGCAAATTAAAACCACAATGAGAGATCACTGCACAACTGTCAGAATGGCTATCATCAATAAATCAACAAGCAACAATTGCTGGCGAGGATGTGGAGGAAAGGGAACCCTCGTGTACTGTTGGTAGAATTGCAAATTGGTGCAACTGCTATGAAAATAGTATGGAGGTTCCTCAAAATAGTTAAAAATGGAACTGCCTTATGAACTAGCAATTCCGCTTCTGGAAACATATTTGAAGAAACAGGAAACACTAATTAGAAGATATATTTGCACCCCTATGGTCATTGCAGTTCTATTTACAATAGCCAATATATGGAATGTGTCCAACAATGGGTGAGTACATAATGTGGCTTTCAACAGCCATCAGTCTTGAAAGCACAGAGAATCTGGTAGATCTGTTCCTTTCTCATCCCAGTTCAAGCATTGATATTGTGATGTGTTAAATGGGGCTTCTTGCCTTGAAATAGGATCAATACAAAATATTGGAATGCAGTCTTTGAGAGGTGGTTTGTGGACTTCCAAATGGCATTGGCTGTTTTAGTGAGTTGAGTATGTCAGCTATGGATGGCTTATTTAGGTCTTGGTTAATTCAAAGGTGTGCAATCCTATATTCCAGTTAATGCATGTGTCTGTCCTTTCAGAGTTTATGATAATATCTGCATATCATTGGATCAGCCAAGTCATTATACAGAAGAGGATTTGAGTCCATTGCAATTTGGGAATGTGTGCTCTGACTCATCTACAAAGCTATAAAATACAACATTAATTTTTTAATTGACATATTAAAAAATACCCCAAAGGCAAATAATTTTATACAGATTATGAACAAACCAATAAATAGAAAGTTATTTTTAAGGCTTTTGTGCATTCCAGGCTTCTTAGCCTCCTCAGAGAATAGTAAAGTATAAAACAGAGTTGCTACTTTTCCAATCTCCCACCACCTACAAAAATCACACAGGAAATCCAAATTCAAGGTAGACAAATCAGAAAATATAGATAGAAATTATAAAATACAGGTGGAGTCACACCAACCAAGGGAGAAACTATTTTGATTTATGGCCTTTCAAACCCTTATATGCAAATACACTTATATAAGTATGCATATATGTATGCATTCTTATACATTATTTAACAAAAAAGAGATTGTACACATTATTTTATAATATTTTTCATTTAGCAATGTATTATAAGTGCCTTTCCTTGCCACTAAATATGGATTTACATAATCTCTTTTCACAGTATGTCATTGATTGATGAATTATAGTTTACATAACCCATCCCCTATGGTATATTTTGTTAGGTTTGATCATTTATTATAGTCAGCATTTTGAAACAAAATACCCCTGGTTTTGTGCACTTGAATATTTCCAGACTCAGGTGTTAAGACGTACTTGAGAATCTTACCGTCTGGTTGTAGAGACAAAACACAATGCAAAGAAAGCAAGCTCATAAAGGGAGGAGGGGTGTCTAAATTAGTTGACAGCCAAGAGTCAATGGCCAGAAAAACCATTTCACACTTAGGTTGCTACGTAAGGCTTCATGAAGGAGAGTTGTAAGTGGTAGAAACTTAAATCAGCTTAGGTGTAAAAAGTGTATGACCAGCTCATGAAATTGCAAGTTCACTTTGATTTCAGACTGAGCTGGGTCCAGAGTTCACTTGATGTTACTGAGCACGTGTGTGTGTGTGTGTGTGTGTGTGTGTGTGTGTGTGTGTGTGTGTTTTCCATCTCTTGGTGTGAGCTGCATTCTAAGCCAAGCTCTTTCTCCATGGCAGCTGCCTCCAGCAGCTCCAGACTCAGGAGGTTTTTATATGTCATAAGGAGAGAAACCCTCTCTCCCAGCTTCTCTGTTAATCCCTTGCAGAACTTTTGCTCACCCGCCACTGTATAAAGGGAAGTGGGTGTCCTGGTGGCTACTTTGGGTCATGTGCCTGTGCCCTGTGGTGAGGAAGGTGGGCAGGGTGTGACTGAAGGCCCTTCGCATGGAGCAGTTCTCAAAAGACAAAGATGCTGGATGGTGAAAAAATGAGAGGACACTGGAACTTGAAGGATAAGCAACCACATCCATTAGATGCTTTGGGCTGCAATTAACAGGGAAACTCCAAATCAAACTGGTCTGTTTACCAATATGTTATGTTATGAAGTCTGGAGGCAGAGTGGGCTCTAGCACCACATGATCCTGGCTCAGTGATGTCATTAAGTTGACTGAGGGTCAACTTCATCTCAAATCAGATTTCCCTCAATATGGCTGCCAATGGCCATCAGGACTCCTAGCCTCTTTGTCCATGGCCAGCACTTGAGGGTGAAAAATAGCTCCCTCTGTCAAGAATTATAAGGCTTTTCCTGCCATCTGATTGGACCAGCCTAGGTCATGTGCTCACCTCTGAATCAATAGCACACTGACTCTGGAGCTACTGGGGACTACTACACACTGATTGGCCAATTACTATCTACTCCTGGAGGAAAAGGTGGGGTTACCTTCCACATGGAATATGGTAGATATTTGAATGAAACTGTAGTACCATTAGAAGGATTGGAGGACACCCACTGGGTGGTCAACCAACAATGGGATCCAAATAAGACTTCATTAGTTAGAAAGGAAATATGGAGTTGGATAAGAGAGGCAATTTATGGCCTGGTCATAGCTGACCAATGATGTGGAAACAACATTACAGAGGCTGTCCTACAGGGAACAGGAGAGTGCACTAGCTCATTTGGAAGTATTCATTTACTTATTCTTTTATTGCTTATATATTTATGGAGCACCTACCATGCACCAGGCCCTATGCTGTGGTGAGTGCTGGGGATAAATGAGATAGATATAGTTCATACTTCACATGAACTTCTAGTGGGGAAGACAGCAGACAAATGAATTTCACAGATAACATGTCAAGAAAAACAAAGCAGGGTAGGAGGATAGAGAGAAAGGGAGGGAAAAGAATCCAAGGCCTCTTGCATAGGTTGACATTGATCCAGAGACTTGAAGGACATGATGAAGTGATACAAGGTGATCTGAGAGAGTGTATTCCCAGCAGAGGGAACAGAAAGTGCAAAGGCTATGGGACAGGCATCCATGGCATGTTTGGGGAACAGTGAGGTGGGCAAGGGGACAGTGGTAGGGAATAATGTCAGAGAGGAAAGGTGAGATCACATGGGACCTCACAGGCATTGCAAAGACTTTGTTGTTACCCTGAGTAGAATGTTGAATTCATGATGACAGAGGGTGGCCAGACCCTCAGCCCATGGCTTTTCCCTGACTGACTTAATCCTTTCTCCTCTCCTCTCTTCTAGGCCATGTACATGTTCTACGCACTGGCCATTGTGTGTGACGACTTCTTCGTCCCCTCCTTGGAAAAGATTTGTGAGGTATGTGCCATTATTCTCAGCATTTCTGAGCTGGGCACTGGTACTGCTCCAGCCTGCTCCGCGGAGGTCCTGGGGAGCACTCTATGCAACCGGGGTGGGTGGGAACACCGGATATCAGCATGCTTCAGAGTGATGAGCAACATTAGCATAAAAGCACCATCAATCTGCTTAGAATTCCAGGACACCCATCTATAGTCGGGCTTTAACACACACATGGCCAGTTTTCCCTGTCCATTTGGCTATAACTCATGGTACTTACTGAGTTCTGCTTCCAGTTTTCTTTTCCTCTTTTAAAATCTGCTCCTCCATTCTCCTTGTCACTCACTCCCTCATCTCCACCATTCCCTTCTGCTTCAGTAACCCTCCTTTGGTGATTTGTGGGGTCCTTGTCAAGTGAGAAATCTCCAGCCACACACACCCATCACCCTTCTTCTGTGTCTATGTATAGAAATGCTCCAAGCAGAGGCCTGAAAGGGGGGAAGATGAAAGAATTGGCCACAGAGACAAGGGCATGGACTCTGCTCAAAATCTGCCCAGTGACACCAGGCTGAATACCAAGTTAAATCCCTTTTATCTGAATTTTCAGCATATCTAGAACCCTTTTATTCTCTTGCCTCCTTCATCTTTTTCTCTGTTTTGAAATGTAGTTCCTTTATCTGGAAGCTTTCCATTTTATTTTATTTTTAATTCAGATGCCTTTCCAGAAGGGATCTCTACCAGATGCCTCTCCTATCTGGAGCTCGAGTTTCTTTATGTCATTCTCAAACTTCATTGTCCCTCCCCTTTCCTCCCTCCTTCCGCCCAAGTATCAGATTCAGTAGGTCTTGGGGGCCAACAGGGACCAGAAGTTATATTTCTAATAAGTATCCAAGTGCTGCTGAAGGTACTGGTCTGAAACCACACTTCGGGAACCACTAACTTAAGCAGTACCTTCTATATCCTGGAAGTCTGTTAATTTTGTGTACTTAGAAAAATAAAAGAATCAAGGCCTGGGAGTGTGTTCCTTATACCATGGAAGGAGGATGAGGAAGAAATGAGGTGGACTGTGGACAGGTGTGGAAGGAAGGCCTTTGTTCAAAGTGAGGTAACCTTAGAACAGGGTCGCCTCATGGGAAAGATGAAGAAGTTCTGAAGCCCTTGTAAGTGGGGTCATTTGCGATCTCTAAAATACCACCATTTGGTGGTTTGTTTTTCATGCAAAGCAAACTACTCTTTCTTTTCCAAACAACTTGAAAAAAAATAGTAAGGCCTTTGTAGGGAGCAGCTATAGGGTCGAGCCTCAGACTGACCTGTGGCAGAGCCACATACAAGTCCCAGCTTGGAGGGCAGAGCCCTTCTAGCACAATTAGGCTTGACCCTATAGCTGCTCCCTACATCTGGTGAGATGTTGCCAGGGCCGAAGTGAATTAGGAATGAAAGAGGGGACATAAGGAGGTATGGAGGAAGAAGCCAATGGAGTGGGTGAAGGAGAGAGAGAGGAACTGGAGATGATCCAAGGTGTGGACTCCAGAATAATCCCCCATCGGGGAACCCAAGCTGGAGAAGACCCAGCAATGCAAGGCTCCCAGCTTGCGGCAAGTCTTGGCAAACCACCCCAGGAGTGTGAGCTCTGCGTTAGGCGACCTTCCCACAGACTGCCGGCTCCCCCTGAGACAGGATGGCAGGGTGCCCTCACAACCACACCTTTTAACTTGAGGTATCAGCACTCCATCTAAGGTCTCCTCAGGACCCCATGTGAAGTTTAGCTGTTCAGTCGAGAGTGAGGAACCCCAGGATTCTAGATGAAAATGCTCCATTAGGGCTCCTGCAGCAGACTTGCTGGTTGGTGGAGCCAGTAGCCTACGCCAAGGCCATGCTGCCCCTCCATGGCTGAGCAAGGGAGTGCAGCTGCTGATGTCACTGGGAAGAGTATCATCAAGAAGATCTGGCACACCAGGAGGAACTGGCAATTTACTGATGGCCAGCAGCTCACTTTTTGAGTCATGATTGAAAACAGAAAAGCTAAACATGCTAACCAGCCTCTAATGCAGGGGTCCTCAAACTTTTTAAACAGGGGGCCAGTTCACTGTCCCTCAGACTGTTGGAGGGCCGGACTATAGTTTAAAAAAAAAATTATGAACAAATTCCTATGCACACTGCACATATCTTACTTTGAAGTAAAAAAAAACATAACGGGAACAAATACAATATTTGTATTTGCGTGTGGCCCGCGGGCCGTAGTTTGAGGACACCTGCTCTAATGTGTATTTGTCTTGTCTTCTTGCAAAACACCTTTGGATTAACCAACAGGGTGACCTAGAGAGTTTATTGAATAGAATATCTTGGCAGAGCTGATGCTTCATTACTTTCTATGCACCCCTCACTCACCCTACCCCAGGGTTTCAAGGTTGCATTGAAGATGGGAAGTAGGTTTCAGGAGGATGACCCTCCTCACCCCAAAGCCTCCATAGCCTCTTAGAATCAAGGCTCATAAGCTGGTTACCATGAGCCTGATTTAGCCTTAGATCAGCATGGTAGTGAAAAAAAATCAGGACATTTTGCATTTTAAAAAAATGTGGACTTTTGCCGGGGTCCAACCCCAGCAGGTCCAGGGGTCCCCAAAGGCGTGGACGGAGTCAGCGAAGAAGGAAGGACACGGAGACAGTGTTCAGTTGATCAGCAGCCTAGCCAGGATCTCCAGCCAAGTTCTGGTCTGGATCTCCAGAGGGGTTCTGCTTCGGATCTCCAGCCAGGTTCTGTGTCCATGTTCTCTTGCTAGGTTCTCCAGGTTCTCCAGCTAGGTTCTGTAGCCATGTTCCCTCGCTAGGTTCTCCAGCCAGGTTCTGTCCAGGTTCTCCAGCCAGGTTCAGTCACCAGGCTCTAGTCAGGTTCTCTTGCCAATTTCTGTAGTCAGGTTCAGTCCAGGATCTTTTGCCATGTTCTCTCGCTAGGTTCTGGCTCTAGATTCTGTGTAGGTTCTGTGTCTAGGTTCTGAGTGTAGGTTCTGTCTTCTAAGTTCTGTCTTGTTACATCTGTATTTATACCAGTTGATTCCAATCCTATCAATCTCTATTCCAAAGGTTAGGGCGTTTCTTATCTCCATTCCAGGGAGTAAAGATTATGTAGCTTAAGCATGATTGTTCGTAGTTAAAGTGATTAATTACCCGCCTGGCACTTAGTTAAGAGGTTTTATTCCCTCCCTAACTTCAGGGGAAAATCCCTACCTGGGGAAACAACCTTTCTCAGAGACCTTGGTTAAAACACATAGTGCCAAGAAGGTGAGCAAACATATTAAGAACTGTATGCCATATATGCCAGGTCCCTTGAAACAGCAAGCATGGACCAGCTCCCGGCAAATTCCCCCTTTTTTATTTTTTAAAAGCCAGGCATTAAAAAGAAAAACCTGAAATGCTCTCTTGTATCCATTTTAAGAGTAGGATTGGCGCTTTCCGCTATTACCTGAGTCCTGATCTATCACCCCAGGGAGAGCTTGCCAATCCTGCACTTTCCCGGGGTGGAAAGGCTGCAGTGGGGTTAAGGATAAGGCTCCTTGGGCCTACCTCCTCCCAGGCCTTTACATTTACCTTTCCTTCCTCAGAAAAGCATGGACATACTTCTTATATAAAACATTCTGTCTGACTGGGAGTAACCTTAATTCCTCTGCTAGCAAGCATATGTGTTAAAAGATCAATACAGAGTCTTATTTCTTTAGACTCAGTATGGCACATCTTCTTTTGGCATCTCAAAAAAAAAAAAGATAATTGGACGGAAGGAAACTAGACTTCAGGTGGTAGGCACACAGTATATAGTAGAGTATATACTAGTAGATATTGTATTATAAATATAGACACCTGAAACTTATATAATGTTATTATTAACCAATGTCACCCCAATCAATTTAATTTAAAAGTAGAAATATTTTGGAACTCAGAGGGATCTGAGTGGTCTGATGTTAGAAAGGATGTGAATGCCTACCGTGCCTCACACTGGCCACTCCACTCCTCCCTGTTATCTGCACAACCCTAGGGGCATTGGGATTGGGGACCTCTAGATCTTGTAAAGAGCCTTTAACTCAAGTGGAACCTCCTCCCGATCCTGTCCCCCAAGGGGGACAATGAGAGGAGCTGTGGCCCAGCCAGGGCAGACAGGCAGCAGTGGCTGAGCTCTGGGAGGAAGAGAAAGGACCAAGCTTGAGACCTGAGAGTCACAGGGTTCCTAGGGGTAACTGGACTCACATGTGCTTTGTCCTTGCTCCTCTGTAGCGCCTGCACCTCAGTGAAGATGTGGCTGGCGCCACGTTCATGGCGGCAGGCAGTTCAGCTCCAGAGCTGTTCACATCTGTCATAGGTAGGTGACAACCTGGGGACATCTAAGCCCTGCCCTCTCTAAAGGACCTGGGCTCGGTGGTGGTTGTTCATTATTATCAGTGCACAAATTCGTGCACCAGTGGGGTCCCTCTGCCTAGCCTGGGGTTTCGGGCCAAAAACGGCTCTCTGACATCCCCCGAGGGGTCCTGGATTGTGAGAGGGTGCAGGCCAGGCTGAGGGACCCCACTAGTTCACACTTGGGGCCAGGGAGGGATATGGGAGGTTGCCCAGCTGGGAGGGACCGCGGGAGGGCTCCAGGGCATGTCCAGCCTGTCTTGCTCAGTCCCGATCAGCCAGACCTCAGCAGCAAGCTAACGTACCGGTCTGAGCATCTGCCCCAGGGGTGGGCAAACTTTTTGACTCAAGGGCCACAATGGGTTCTTAAACTGGACCGGAGGGCCAGAACAAAAGCATGGATGGAGTGTTTGTGTGAACTAATATAAATTAGTTTGCCCACAGCTGTTCTGCCCCCTATTGGTCAGTGCATGTCATAGCGACTGGTCAACCATTCGACTGCCCCTTGGTGGTCAGTGCACGTCATAACGAGCGGTTGAGAGGCCTTAGCATATCATTAGCATTATTACGCTTTGATTGGTTGAATAGACGACCAGACACTTAGCATATTAGGCTTTTATTATGTAGGATTAAAGAAATGCTTTTACTTTGCATGGATGTGCTCCAGCCCCAAAGCCAATGCTCTTGTGGGACGGTGTCCCCAGTGCAGATTAGAGAGCTCCCTCCAATGCTCGACTGCTTCCTGCATACTCTCTGTGATCAGCCTAACACTTAAGAAAGTTCCTCTGCACACACCTTGGAATACGAACCGCACAACAGCCAGGCTGATGTTGGCTCTGTGTTTCAGGCGTCTTCATCACCAAGGGCGACGTGGGAGTTGGGACCATCGTGGGCTCGGCCGTGTTCAATATCCTGTGCATCATCGGAGTCTGCGGGCTCTTCGCTGGGCAGGTAGGAGTGATGGCAGAAGGTGGTGTCTGGGGAGGAGGGCGTGGAGGTGAGGCAGCGGCCGGTCTGGCAGGAGCAGAACCAGCATGAGGACCAGTGGTCTTGGACAGTGAGGATGTGGGATCTCACGCCCCAGGAGGCTGGCTCAGCTAGACCTGGAAATTTCCAGGCACCATCCTTTGGTCTCTGTGTTGATGGAATATAGAGTTCCCAAATTCATGTAAGTAATTAACCAGTCTGAAGATATGGGCCACGAATCTGAAGGTGCCATGCTCATTTTGATATATTGATCTGAATTGGAAAACCTAAAACAATTTTGGGCATGGTGTTCCCTCAATGTAAATAGAGTGAAAAGAGAGAGAAGGAGACAGGAAATGACCGGTGTGTGTTTTTCTGCTAAAAACAATTTGCATCCATCACAGTTTAGGACACATCTACAGTTAGGAAACATTTTATTTACATGTTCACTTTAGTTGACTTTTGGGGTCACCAGGGGTTTTGCATGCCTGCATTTTATCTATGAAGACTATGCCACTGCCAGGGGGTATCATGGGGGTCTTTGTCCTTTATGAACTCTGGTGTTCATTTTGGAAAGTCTTGGGAAGACACCCCGAAGTCACCAAAGTGTGAGGCTTTCCGGCATCCATGGCGTTGCAGGGGCAAACAGGGGCTTGCAGCCATCCTGCCAGCACTCATGTCCTACTTTCCTGGTAGAAATACCCAGGACTCTGAGTATTATCTAGGAAAAGTGACTTCTAGAAACCCATCAAGGGTGTCCAATTGCAGTATTGAGGTACCTGGTGGTCTGATCCAAGGTCCTGATAGAAGTGGCTGGGTGGTTTGAAGGGCTACAGAAAGCTCCTGGGAATTTTCTCCCACGCCTTTCTGTGGCCCCCTGGGTCATTCAGTCAGCCGGCCGGCGGCACCCAGTGCTGCCCGTCTCTTGAATGCAGACTAGAGAGTGTCTGAAGCAGGATGCACTCCAGCACACCACCGCTGTTCCCCACTGCTTGCCTTTACCTCCATCATCTTCGTACCAATTTATTTGTCTGGGTAGCCTGGTGAGTTTATTACTTCTGGTGACAGGCAGGACACCTTGATCTCATCAGGAATCAGCTCCAGCGCTCACAGGTGAACAGTTACTTCTGAGAGGGGACAGCTGTGTCCACATGTGGTTATTGAGTTCTGCCCAGCTTACAGGACTGAACATTTTCTTTCTTTATCCTTTTGGTCAGTTCTCTCTTCGTCTTAGATTTTGTGGACCCACAATATAGTGTTTTGTCGATCTCCTATACATGTAGTCAGTACCCAAAAACAGCCTCTGTCTTTGCCTTCACTTCCATTTGTACTTCACTGGCTCTCATCTGAGTTGGAGATGAACAGTCACATCCTGCAGAAGTCTGTTGCGATTAGCACTCTCTTAATTAGCATTGCTACCATTAGTAGTACGATTATTCGCTTGGCGGTTCTTAGTGTTGTCATTAGTTCATTAGTCATTTGTACCTGAAACTTGATGTGAAGGCAAGCCCAAACAGGAAGAAATAAAGCAAGCAAATGAAACAAGTGATGGGGACATAGCTAGTAAATGCCATGCAACTAATTACATATGAGGTGGCTTGAATGCATTTGTGTTTCATAATTTATTAGCAATGCAGGAAATCACTTGTCTTGTTAGAACAACTACTTAGAAGACCAATTGCTTCCTGAATGTTAACAAGTTCTGGTATCAGTCACTACCTCCCGGAAACTCTTTGCCAAGCGCATCTCACAGCCCTGCAACCATTGTGGAGAGAAGGAGCAACCTCGATGATATTAGAATGAGCCCAGATGATGATTCTGGGTGCCAGCCATTCCTCCTGTCTTTCTGTGTCCTGTGCCTAAGTGGAGAGTTCCAAAGCCACACAGTTCTCTTTTTCAGGACTTTGTAAAATCCTCAAAGTCTTTGCAGGAGGAGCAAAATGATGTTTTGGGAATCCGATTGCCCTGGGTTTGAATCCCGGTTCTTGCTGGCTGTGGAGCCATGGAGAAGTTGTTTCACCTCTTTAAGCCTCAAGTTTTCTCATCTATAGAGTAGATACAAGTGCACTTACCTCCTACCATCGCCTTAGGGATGAAACATAACATGTTCAGCAAACAACACCAGCCCTACACAGAAGATGCTCAACAAAAGTTAAACACCATTATCAGCTCTCAGAATAACAGCAATCCCTGGGTCTCTTGCCTCAAAATTCCATGCTGGAGCCTTAGCCTGTTTGGCTCAGTGGATAGAGTATCGGGCTGCAGACTGGAGAGTTGTGGGTTCGATTCCGGTCAAGGGCACATACCTGGGTTGTAGGCTCCATCCCTCATAGGGGATGTGCAGGAGGCAGCCTATCAATGATTATCTCTCATCATTAATGTTTCTATCGCTCTCTCCCTCTCCCTTCCTCTCTGAAATCAATAAAGATACATATTTTTTTTTAAATAAATCCCACACTGGGTCACTACAATAATTTAACCAACCAGTGGGAGGAACTTAACAACTAACTTGTGGAACAGCAGCCAGGTGTCCGGTGGCAAGGGCAGGGAAGGTCAGGGAGAGGGTCTCTATGTGAAATTCCAAATGAGGAGAGGCTGATTAGAAGAACCATCTCAGGGGACTGACTGGTCTTGCCTCTGTGCTGTCTGATCAGTGGGAGGAAAAGAAAAATCAGTACGAAATGAACGTGCCTGGCATCCTGAGCCGCCCTCCCAGCTGGTGGAGCCTATGAAGCGGCATGTTCCAGCAAAGGACGGTTATTGGCAATTGAACTGATTAATAAATTCAATCACGGGGCTCACTTAGCATTGTTATTTATGTTGCTCCACACTTTCATTTGGCTGTGAGAATTACCAGCTCATGCCCATGGGGCTCTCTCTAATGTATTCCTGCGTGAAGGGCTGCTCGTGACCAAGTCTGTTACCCATCTGAAATTAAAGTAATTAAGCCGTAAGGTTTGAGTTCCTGTCTCAATTAGGGTTTTGATGAATTTTATGTAATTAAATGTCTGCTGTATTTGCAGTTTGCAAACATACCCAGTGCTTCGGTGTTCGCCTAAGGTGGTTTGGGGAGTTTTACGGGACAAGAAGGAGATTGCTTCTTAGAAAGTGGCTTATAGAATGGTTCTTGGCATCCCCGCAAGACATTTATAGGGCTGTGGTCTTACAAGCTTTTTTTTCATTTAAAAACAAAAAATAACAACAAGGAGAGAAGGCCAGTTTATTTCCATCTTGTGAAACAATGCACTTATGAATTTAAATCCACCATCCAGAGCATGTTAAGCTTTAAAGACATAACCACAAATAGAGAGTAAACTGCATTCCAGGTTAGGACTTTCATATTCCAGTTATTACAGGCCGGCAGATGGCCCCAGTTTGTAATAAAGAGCTTCAGCATCAGCTCTCCTGGCATCCTCCAAATGTACCTGATGTTCATTGGAGAGGTCCTTCTAATCGTGTCTGGGTTTGCCTTGCTGTTCATGCTGGCCTCTTTAAACAAGCCCGACAGTACCCAGAGGTCGTACATCTGAATTGAAACCTGCTTTCAGTGTCACTAATCATCAGAGAAATGCAAATTAAAACCATTATTAGGTATTACGTCACACCTGTCAGAATGGCTATCATCAATAAATCAACTCACAACAAGTGCTGGTGAGGAGAAAAGGGAAGACTCATGCACTGCTGGTGGGAATGCAGACTGGTGCAGCCACTGTGGAACACAGTATTGAGTTTCCTCAAAAAGTTAAAAATGGGAGCACTGCCTTTTGACCCAGTGATCCCACTTCTGGGAATATATTCGATGAAACCTGAAATAATACTTTAAATGAATATATGCACCCCTATGTTCATTGCAGCATTATTTACAATAGCCAAGATCTGGAAACAGCCCAAGTGCCCATCAGTAGATGAGTGGATAAAAAGCTTTGGTACATTTATCGAATGGAATACTACTCAGTCATTAAAAAGGATATCTTACCTTTTTTGACAGCATGGATGGACCTTGAGATTATTATGCTAAGTGAAATAATGCAGTCGCAGAAAGAGAAATACCATATGATCTCACTTACATGTGGAATGTAATGAACAAAATAAACTGATAAACAAAATAGAAATAGGTATGGATACATGGAACAGACTGACAGCTGTCAGAGGGGAGGAGGGGATAGGGGTCTGAATGAAAGAAGGTGAAAGCATTAAACAAAATTATCTATAATAATAAAAGCATAATATGCTAATTAGACCAGACAGCTGAACAACCTTCCAAACGTCCTCCCAAATGACCTTCCAGATGAAGCTGGGGCTGCGAGGGCCGAGCCCCTTGCACAGATTTCGTGCATCAGGCCTCTAGTATATATATAAAACTCATAGAAACAGACATCAGTGTGGTGATAGCCAAAGGGAAAGGGACATGGCGGGGTAGGTGGAGGTGGGTAAAGGAGGAGGGAAAGAAACGTCGCTTGGGGCAATGGGTATACAGTGCATTGTGCAGGTGATGTTTTACTGAGCTGTACATTTGAAATCTGTATGGTTTTGCAAATCAATTATCACCCCAGTAAATTCAACTGAAAATAAGATAGAAACCTGCCTTCAATTGGGTTCCCCTCTCCTCCTAGAAGGAGAATCTAAGCAATATTCCAAGTTCAAGTATATTTAAAAGGTGATCCCAGGACATTCTAGCCTAGAAGTGGGGAAGTGAGACAGGGAGGAGAAAGCAGCCAAGGAAAGCATGTTAGCGAGCAAGCTATCCCTATGGGCAGCTGAGATATACTTTTGGGGAACCAGGTGGCGGTGTAGAACATGGGCCTCTAAGTTATCTCATTCAAGGGGAAGGGAGCTAGGGTATTTAAACACCAACCTTCACCAATCATTGGGTAAGGAGCGCTCCTGAGAAACATTAACTCCCTGGCATTCCAGCTTGCTGGGCCCAGGCAGAGTGAACTTTGGGGCCCAGGGAAAACCCCAAGCAAAGGACAAAGGGGCTGGCA